CTCGAGAAGCAATGCAACCAACAATAAACTTACCTCAAATTTTACCTCAAATTGTTGAGGATACTAAAGAAAACTCTTATATGCAAACTTCTGGTAAAAACCATGTTAATGCAACATTACATTCTAATCGTGATGTTAATCCTAACCTATGGGATACTTTACAATTCACAGATTTGTCTCGTACGACTCAATTGAAATTAAGAGAGATGTATTCAAATTATTTGTCAAAATAGGAACATTCTTGATTACTGAATTTACCTTTAATGTTAATACGTAGCGATAGATTCCTTCTGTATTGTATATCAACGTTAATATATATATATTCTTTTTCTTTTATTGTAATATTTGCATATGAATATTGTAAAGTTATTTTGTCTGAGCTTAGATATTAAATTATTCTGTTGCTATCTAAAGATATATAGAAACTCTTTTAAGTAATATATATTGAATTTGTGTTATCTGTGTTATTTCATATTTTACGTATATATGAGTGCCACCAAAAAACGTATCGGGCATACGTAGCCTGAAGACAATGTGCGTAAAGATTTTTCTAGTCATTTTGGTCACAGCATATCGATATCTCTTTTTTTTAATCTCATTTATGCGTCATTTTCAGGGGTATGCCTAATTCACATATCGGAGTATCTGTGTTATTAATCAATAAACCCCAAAATGTTTATGTTTGTATGTAAAAAACCGAAGTCAGGTTTCACTCATATGTACTTAATATGATACATTATTGGGAAATTTTTTCGTCGGAGTTAATGTCATTCATGTGCTGCTACGTACGCAACACATGAGTGAAAAAAATGTTCCGTTATTTATCGTATTTCCAATAATGATATCCGTGATATTTTGCACAACTGATTACATAATTTCGTGCAAAAAATATCATGCCAAAAAAAATTCACATGATAATATAAAATATCGGATAAATAGCTTTATTTTTTGACATACGACCGGTTATGTTTGCGGCAAAATTTGTATGGATCACACATAATAATTGTCTTGATCCGGCGCTACGTAGACAATTCATGGACACCTTATTTCACAGAAAATAAACAACATATGGGTGACAACGAAAGAAACTACACTTCGATTATACAAAAATTTATGTGATCGAAGTCTGCTGCATATTAGAAGTATTATTCATATAGTTTTTAGGACTCTGATCATAAGTAAACATTTCTATTTCTTTTTAATTTATCGCACTGTTTTACATAAATTTGTACAGTATAATGGTTTGAATAAACGGTTTAATGTTTTACAGAAAAAAAATTAATCTATATCGATATATATATATATATTAGTTGGACTGGGCTGAGCATATAGGTGGTCCAATGTCCAAATCCTAACACTGCTCATGAATACCTGGATCCGGATTTAATCAATGAATCCGGATATAGCGATAGGTGTAATATCCTCATAGGAAGAAGTTCGTCTGATTGGCTGATGTAAATCAATTGCCCGGGT